AATCGGCCTCCAAATAAATGTGTTTTCCGGCTGGTGCGACATTTCTGAAGATGCCATTATTAGTCACAGAAGCAGTCGAAACATCAGGAGAGAATGCTGCTGGAACATAGCCCTATAGCCCTAAAAACTCACAGCAACCCAGTATTTCCACTGAGCATGCCTAGTTTCCAACAGACCTCACAACATTTGAGGATGCCTGCCACAGATGTGGGTGAAACATCAGGAGAGAATGCTGCTGGAACATAGCCTTAAAAATTCACAGCAACCCAGTATTTCCACTGAGCATGCCCAGTTTCCAGCAGACCTCACAACATTGGAGGATGCCTGCCATAGATGTGGGTGAAACATCAGGAGAGAATGCTGCAGGAACATAGCCATACCGCCCAAAAAGCTCACAGCAACCCAGTATTTCCACTGAGCATGCCTAGTTTCCAACAGACCTCACAACATTGGAGGATGCCTGCCATAGATGTGGGTGAAACGTCAGGAGAGAATGCTGCAGGAACATAGCCATACCGCCCAAAAAGCTCACAGCAACCCAGTATTTCCACTGAGCATGCCCAGTTTCCAACAGACCTCACAACATTTGAGGATGCCTGCCATAGATGTGGGTGACACATCAGGAGAGAATGCTGCTGGAATCTCACAGCAACCCAGTATTTCCACTGAGCATACCTATTTTCAAACAGACCTCACAACATTTGATGATGCCTGCCATAGATGTGGGTGAAACGTCAGGAGAGAATACTGCTGGAACATAGCCCTATAGCCCTAAAAACTCACAGCAACCCAATGATTCCAGCTATGAAAGCCTTCAGCAACACTATAAGGGAATCCTTTGAGGCTGAGGCTGGATCTACACTTCCATACAATCCAGTGTCTTATATAAATCTACGTTGACATATAATCCAGTTCAAAGCAAATAATCTGGATTCAGAAAATTGGATTATATAGCTGTGTAGATGCAGGAGCATGATGATGAGAAACCTAAATCTTTGGATGCTGCTGTACAAACTGATTTTGTCTCAGTTTGCAAACAGCGGGGCATGTTTGATTGTGGTTACAGATCTAAACACTTTGGATGTATTTGTAAATAAGGAAGTAAACAATGAGCTCCCTCGTAGATCACCTTTGTTTTCCTTAGGAGCGGAGAGGCTTTTAACAGGGGAGCCAATCGACTGGCATTATTTTTGGATGAACCAAAGGCACATTTATTAAAATATATCTCCCTTCTACGTTTAAAAATAGTGATATTGGACATTGTGGTTCTTGAATGCTCCAAGTGCATCATCATCTGTGCCATTATCACAATAATCTTTGCAGCAAAGACAGGCTAATGTTGTTATTCCCATTTGCAAATGAAAGAGACGGGAAGCAACGGGTTCGGAATCAAGCAGAGCAGCCGTTCGTTTGGGACTTACGTTCATCGTTCCGTTTATTTCCGCCACGGACTCGTCGTCTGTCGGGAACTGGTAAATCTGGACTCCGTTGCTGACCAACTCGCTTGTGATCTTGATTTTGAATTTTGTGAGTTCGCTCTTAGAAATGGCGTCCGATTTGGCAATGATGGGGATGATATTTACCTGCAGGAAAACCAAGAAACGGCACGAGAGAGAAGAGTGGGATGCTCAGTGGAACTGGTTTCATGAAACTAGCTGAGTCACAATGTTTACTTCAAGATGAATTCCTTCAGTGTTGGAAATAGCAACCTCCTACAACCTCCCCCAATTTACTTGTCCGAACGGATTCTCCCCTATGAACCATCAAGATTGCTAAGATCTTCTGGAGGGGCCCTGCTCTCAGTCCCACCATCTTCGCAATCGAGTCTGGTGGGGATGAGGGACAGGGCCTTCTCGGTGGTGGCCCCTCAGCTCTGGAACTCTCTCCCATTGGAGATTAAAACTGCCCCTTCCCTCCTGACCTTTAGAAAGTTGGTGAAAACCTGGCTCTGGAACCTGGCATTTGATGAGTGAGTCAATAACTCTTGATCACACGGACGGATGGTGATGGGTTGTGATTTTATTCGGATGACTTGGCCTTATGTAATTATATGATTGTATTTTAATGTGTTTTATATTAGAGTTTTATAGGATGTGATGTTTTTTAACTATTGTGTATGAACTCCTCTGTTGTAAACCGGCCTGAGTCCCTCGTCGGAGGTGAGAAGACCGGTATATAAAAGTTCTAAATAAATAAATAAATAAAAAACCTCCTATACTAGTTATTTGCTATGGATATAGTTCAGATTGCTTACTATATTGTATATTTGTGTATTGGTATGCAGCATCCCCTTAACTCTATGTTTTCTTGAGGTTGTGGGAGGAGCTGCAGACCATGTGACCAGATCTGGGACTATTCAGATCTCAGACTCCATTTTAGAAGTTATGTAGAAACAGAATGCTTTAGAGAAGAGACTCTATTAAACTGTGGGCTGTTAAGAGACTCCATTAGATTCTCAGACCAGAGAGATGCTTTAGACTTTGGACTGTTGGTTGTAAGGAAGATACCTTGTGTTATCATGTGACCAGATCTGGGACTATTCAGATCTCAGACTCCATTTTAGAAGTTATGTAGAAACAGAATGCTTTAGAGAAGAGACTCTATTAAACTGTGGGCTGTTAAGAGACTCCATTAGATTCTCAGACCAGAGAGATGCTTTAGACTTTGGACTGTTGGTTGTAAGGAAGATACCTTGTGTTATCATGTGACCAGATCTGGGACTATTCAGATCTCAGACTCCATTTTAGAAGTTATGTAGAAACAGAATGCTTTAGAGAAGAGACTCTATTAAACTGTGGGCTGTTAAGAGACTCCATTAGATTCTCAGACCAGAGAGATGCTTTAGACTTTGGACTGTTGGTTGTAAGGAAGATACCTTGTGTTATCATGTGACCAGATCTGGGACTATTCAGATCTCAGACTCCATTTTAGAAGTTATGTAGAAACAGAATGCTTTAGAGAAAAGACTCTATTTGACTGTGGCCTGTTAAGAGACTCCATTAGACCCTCAGACCAGAGAGATGCTTTAGACTTTGCACTGTTGATTATAAGAAAGATACCCTGTGTTATCATGTGACCAGATCTGGGACTATTCAGATCTCAGACTCCATTTTAGAAGTTATGTAGAAACAGAATGCTTTAGAGAAGAGACTCTATTAGACCGTGGCCTATTAAGAGACTCCATTAGACTCTCAGACCACATCTTCACTATAGCATGACTTCAGACAGACTACTTGAGACCTCAGATCATACACATGCTTGCTGTTTTGCTGGAAGACATGTTCTGGCTGTATGGCACAGAGAATGATCTCAAACATACCTGAAACTGGACTGAAAAGCATATGCTGAATACACGAAGGTTGTGAGTAAACCAAATATGTTATTTCCATCAAAGTTTACTTCATTTTTGTCTCTTGAGTGCAAAGCACAAAACAACTTGCTTTATGGGAGTGTGTGTGTGCATGTGTGTGTACGCATACACACACACACATGCATATTGGGCACTGGAAAACACTTCTAAAGCTCTGCTGTTTTTATGCACTGGCAAATCTCTGTTTCCCTAAGAGATCAGAAATAACAGATTATTCAGTCTAACAACCGAAACCACTGCCTTGCATAATTACATCTGGTGGTAAAGAGAAGACAAGAGAAGATTGTACTCTAAAGGGTTTTGGGCTCTTCTCTGAAAGGTCATGTTTTTCTAAATATTTATGATCTCCATAAGGTGTTTTTCCAAAAGGTTATGAGTAAACCAAATATGTTATTTCCATCAAAGTATACTTCATTTTTGTCTCTTGAATACATGACACAAAACAAGTTGTTGTATGGGTGTGTGTGTGTAAGGGTGTATGTGTGGATGGGCACTGGAAAACACTCCTAAAGCTATGCTGTTTTATGCACTGAGAAAGTCTCTGTTTTTCTGACAGATCAGAGATAACAGGTTATTCAGTCTAACAACCGAAACCACCGCCTTGCATAATTACATCTGGTGGTATGCCACAAAGGAAGATTGTACTTTAAAGGGTTTTGGGCTCTTCTCTGAAAGGTCATGTTTTTCTAAATATTTATGATCTCCAAAAGGTGTTTTTCCAAAAGGTTATGAATGCCATTTCCCAAAAACGGCAGAGACTTGAACCCAGAACCTTTTTTTTGCAAAGCACGTCTTCTTCTGTCGCATCCCAGGATAAAGAAATCACACAGCAGGCGAGAGCAGGCGGGGAACACGCCGTCTTCTTCGCACAAGCGAGTGGCGAGACCCAAGAATAGTAACCAAGCAACACTTCCTCGCAGGAGGATCGCACCAACTCCTACCTTGCTGTCAAGCTTCTTCATGGTGACCAGATCCAAGGATTTCAGAGAGTGGCCCGTGGGGGCGATGAAGTACAGGCAGGCGTGGATCCGGGAGTCGTGGTAGTTATGCAAGACCCGCTTGATCTTCAGCTCCTCCTGCAAGTAGGACTCGAACTGGGCGTCAATGAACTCCACGATGGGCTTGTAGCTGCAGAGAAAGCAGAGGGGTGAGTGGAGTGTTGCAACACACTTGGATCATATTGGGATGTTTTAAATTGTACACTAATGCTTTTATGTCAAGCTAATTCAAATACACACATATATATGCGTGCACACACACACCCAGTGGTGCAGTGGGTTATCATTATTATTTACAGAATTTATATACCATCTTTCTCGCCTCTGGGGGAACTCAAAGCGGTTAAATCTCTGAGCTGTTGAATTTGCTAACCAAAAGGTCGCAGGTTCAAATCCGGGGAGCGGGATGAGCTCCCACTGTTAGCCCCAGCTTCTGCCAACTTAGCGCTTCAAAAGCATGGAAACGTGAGTAGATCATTAGGTACTGCTCCAGTGGAAAAGTAAGGATGCTCCATGCAGCCATGCTGGCCTCATGACCTTGGAGGTGTCTATGGATAACGCCAATTCTTTGGCTTAGAAATGGAGATGAGCACCAGAGTCCCAGAGTCAGAGACAACTGGACTTTCTCTTTACCATATATATATATATATATATATATATATATATATATATATGGTAAAGATATATATATCTCCTAGCCATCCCCTGACACTCATTGCCATGGCCCAGTCTGTGTATATGTTTTTGTGTTTGTGTGTGTATGTGGTTTTGCGCATGTGTTGCAATGGTTTTTTTTAATGGCTTTTTAAGTCCCTTCTGTCAGAGTATTGAAGCTTTGCCAGCGGAAGGATTGCTAGATCAGCAGACGCTGTTTTCAAAAATCAGGACTCTGCAAGCTTTTAGTTACAACAGAAAACTAAGTTTACTAAGTACATCTACACACGTCTATTCACAGCAAGCAACAGACAGGAACTACTAGGCACAAAACAACAGTCTCTGAACATCTGCTTATCTGACTTCTGGCTGAGACCAGATCCTCCCTCTTCTTCCCAGCCAGAGAACACGTTCTCTCATTTCTGTCAAGGTTACATTTTCACTGCCTCTCACAGTATTTCTAATACACAATTGAGCAGAATACAATCCATCTTGAAATACATCTTAATCCATCTTGAATTACATAGAAACACATTGAAAAACACACATGCATAACTCAATAATCCTGACACCTTCCGCTGTGATTTTCAGTGTTTTTATGAGCGATGGTCACTTGTTGGCCTGATACGTGTATTGTGTCCAAATTCTGTGTCAATTTGTCCAGTGGTATTTGAGTTATGTTAAGCCCACAAATGAACATTACATATCTATATCTACACACATACACGTCTGTGTGTGTATGTGGAGTTAGATTCTTAAAATGTCCCTGTTTTGACTTACAAACACATTTAACTTAAGAACAAACCTACAGAACCAATCTTGTTCATAACTTGGGGACAGCCTGCATTTCCCTTAGGTGCAAATAACATGCAATATTTCCATATTTGCATCTCATTAACAACAGCTGTCGACCAAAACCATCGAAAGAGCCAATATTTCCATTTCTGGAGAGCGTGAGGTGTCTCTTCCTATGAGCAAAACGACTGCGGTCCAGCAAGAACGGCATAAGACATTTTATGGCTGGAAGCAAACCAGGCAGTGCACCCTTCTGTGTCATCCCATGTAGAAGGTGATGAGGTTCTCAACTGAGCATCGATGTAATCAGTAATAGGATACAATCTTCCATCCACAGGCTGCCTCAAGGAGTACAGTGCAGTCTAAAAACACACCAGCACAGCTCTTCCCTCTATGAACTAGGAGGACAACCCAAGATCTTCCCACGCTATGCATGATCTGCCTCACTAAAGATAGAGCCAAGAACTTCAGGAAAGGAGATTCCACCTGAACATGAGGAAGAACTTCCTGACTGTGAGAGGCATTCAGCAGTGGAACTCTCTGCCCTGGAGTGTGGTGGAGGCTCCTTCTTTGGAAGCTTTGAAACAGAGACTGGATGGCCATCTGTCAGGGGTGATTTGAATGCAATATTCCTGCTTCTTGGCAGAATGGGGTTGGACTGGATGGCCCATGAGGTCTCTCCCAACTCTAGGATTCTCTGACTATGATTTACACTTGCCTAATCATTATTATTCCGGAGTTGACCCCATTGGAGCAGTAGTTTGCCTTCCTAGAAAGGCAGCATTTTCCATCTACTTCAATGTATTGTTAGGATCAAGGAGACCGAAATCGCTGCTTACCTGTCCTCCTTGTTGATCTGGTCCCCGAAGCCCATGGTGCTCACAATGGTCAGTTTCAGGTGGACGTTGCTTTCGTGGAGGTCGTAAGTGCTGGACTTCAGCTGGACGCCCGGCTGCGCGTGGGACGCCGGCTCGCCCTCGAATTTGGTGTTGAAAAGCGTGTCCATCAACGTTGACTTCCCGAGCCCAGTTTCCCCTTTTGCAAGGAAGAGAAAGAAGGAAACACACAACGTATTAGACAAAACGTCCTCTGGATTTCTTATACTGTCACTCCCATCGCTCCTGTCCATTGGCCTGAATGGCTGGTGTTAAAGAAAGCAGTAATTCAAAACAATTTTGGGCACCAAATATATCCGATCTTCTGCAAATAAGTTTATGAAGTGAAAACCTAAAAGTTAAGAACAGCAGGAGGACATTATTATTTACTTATTGTTACATTAAGTACAATGTATTTTATACTAACGATATACTTTTTTTAAAAATACCAATGATATTCAATATTGTTTTCATATTTGTAAATTTTCAGTGGTGTTGTAATGCTTTTTATTGGTTTCATAAGTGGTATTATTATTATTATTATTATTATAGTATTATAATAACAATTATTAATAATATTATAGTAATAATATTACAGCATTAATAAAATAATATTATAGTATTGTTAATACAAGGATACAGGTGGCTCGTGAAAGTGGGTTCCAGGTTCTAGGATATAGATGGCTTGTGAAAGTGGGTTCTAGGTTCTACATCAGCTGGACATCTAGAAAATCTGATTCTGATGCACACTATAATTAATAATGATATTATAGTAATAACAGTATTAATATAATATAATAATATTATAGTATTATTATGGTATTAATACAAGGATACAGATGGCTCATGAAAGTGGGTTCTAGGTTCTAGATCAGCTGGATATCTAGAAAATCTGATTCAGATGCACACTATAATTAATAATATTATTATAGTAATAATATTACAGTATTGATATAATATAATAATATTATAGTATTATTAATACAAGGATATAGATGGCTCGTGAAAGTGGGTTCTAGGTTCTAGAATAGCTGGATATATAGAAAATCTGATTCAGATGCACAATATAATTAATAATGTCATTATAGTAATAATATTACAGTATTCATATAATATAATCATATTATAGCATTATTAACACAAGGATACAGATGGCTCATGAAAGTGGGTTTCAGGTTCTAGATCAGCTGGATATCTAGAAAATCTGATTCAGATGCACACTATAATTAATAATGATATTATAGTAATAACAGTATTAATATAATATAATAATATTATAGCATTATTAACACAAGGATACGGATGGCTCATGAAAGTGTGTTCCAGGTTCTAGATCAGCTGGATATCTAGAAAATCTGATTCAGATTCACACTATAATTAATAATATTATTATAGTAATAATATTACAGTATTGATATAATATAATAATATTATAGTATTATTAATACAAGGATATAGATGGCTCGTGAAAGTGGGTTTCAGGTTCTAGATCAGCTGGATGTCTAGAAAATCTGATTCAGATGCACACTATAATTAATAATATTATTATAGTAATAATATAACAGCATTAATATAATATAATCATATTATAGTATTATTAATACAAAGATACAGATGGCTCATGAAAGTGGGTTCCAGGTTCTAGATCAGCTGAATATCTAGAAAATCTGATTCAGATGCACACTAGTATTAATAACGTTATTATAGTAATAATATAACAGTATTAATATAATATAATAATATTATAGTATTATTAATACAAGGATATAGATGGCTCGTGAAAGTGGGTTCCAGGTTCTTGATCAGCTGGATATCTAGAAAATCTGATTCAGATGCACACTAATAAAGATATGCACATTTCTATATCGCCACTTCCACACCCAGCAGCTTAGGAACAGTAAATTTGGACACAAGAGAGGCTTTCGAGCATCACTTGCGCAAGCCGTGCAACTGATGCGCTTGCAAAGCCAGAGGCTCCAACCCAGCGAAGCAGCATCAGCTCAGCGCAAGCGGATGTGCCTTTCGGAGCACATTAAAGCACTGACACACATTTCCTGCATCACAGATCACAAAGGCAGTAGTTGCCCTCCAGGGATGGGGGAAGGCGGCCATTGCAAAGCCTTCCCATTGGTGTCCATGCGCAAACACACAAACACACACACATATCCAAATCCAAGCAACATTTCCTAGGGAGAGGGATCACTTTAGTTACTCAAAGCACCAAATGGAACAAAGCTATAGAAGAAATTGTACTTTTTTCTCCTAGAAGGGAATTATTTGCATGTTCTGCAAAAATATTCACATCTACGATCTCCTTGCAAGACGACGTATTTGTTGTGTGTGTACTTTTGCAGGAACATACACGCAATGTTGGGATTTGTTCAGAAATTTGAATCTAAATACATTTTACGTGCCATTACTCCAAGCAGCCTGATTGCACCATGTAACATTATCATCAATAACAACACTATGTAACACAAATAATAACCTCAATATTACAATAATAATATATTAAATATTATTTATATTATTATTATATCTATACATTATTATTGTTATGATCATAACCTCACAAGTACAACAATAATATAATAAATATGATATTATTTATGTTGTTATTATATTATATCTATAGGCAAAGGTAAAAGTTTTCCCCTGACATTAAGTCCAGTCGCGTCCGACTCTGGGACACCTCCAAGGTCATGTGGCTGGCATGACTGCATGGAGCACTGTTACGTTCCTGCCAGAGCGGTACCTATTGATCTACTCACATTTGCATGTTTTCAAACTGCTAGGTTGGCAGAAGCTGGGGCTAACAGCTGGAGCTCACCCTACTCCCCGGATTCGAACCTGCAACCTTTCGGTGAGCAAGTTCAGCAGCTCAGCAGTTTAACCCACTGCACCAATGAGGGTTTGTATGTATATATACTCACTTTTGCATGTTTTCGAACTACTAGGTTGACAGAAGCTGGAGCTGGCAGCAGGAGCTCACGCTGCTCACAAGACTATGTAACACTATCTTTGTTCCTGGGTTATAAATGTCATTTCTTTAATAATATACATTTGCCATTTATGAAGGAGTCAGAATCAGACAGTTGAAAATATGGGAGTTGTAGCCAATGATTTGCAAACCTCTCCATAGCTCTGATTCAGTATGAAAGTGGGGGATTCTGGGAGTTATAGTTCCAAGAATAGTCCTGTTTAAAAACTTTTGATCTGGAATATAGATTGTCTCACAAATGCTCAAACACTCACAATGAATTTCTGAAGACTTAGGAAGGTACAAACATAAATAGAGGAGGGTTGGCAGTACTGGTCTGCAGCAGGTACTGGCTTGTTCAGTAGACTCTCCTCTACAGTTCCATTTTGGTGGGAAGCCTTAGTATTGAATGGTTGTGTTGTTAAAGTGCGAAGTGAAAAGTAATGCTTCCACCTTCGTAACTCCTCAACAGATGGCAGTACTGGTCTGCGGCAGGTACTGGCTTGTTCAGTAGACTCTCCTCTACAGTTCCATTTTGGTGGGAAGCCTTAGTATTGAATGGTTGTGTTGTTAAAGTGCGAAGTGAAAAGTATTGCCTCCACCTTCGTAACTCCTCAATAGATGGCAGTACTGGTCTGCGGCTGGTACTGACTTCAGTAGACTCTCCTCTACAGTTCCATTTTGGTGGGAAGCCTTAGTATTGAATGGTTGCGTTGTTAAAGTGCGAAGTGAAAAGTAATGCCTCCACCTTGGTAACTCCTCAACAGATGGCAGTACTGGTATGTGGCAGGTACTGGCTTGTTCAGTAGACTATCCTCTACAGTTCCATTTTGGCGGGAAGTCTTAGCATTGAACGGTTGTGTTGTTAAAGTGCGAAGTATGGAATCCTGCACATACGGTTGGTCAATGCGACTTAATCAACGTGCAGTCATTGAATTCTTGTCTGCAGAAGGTGTCACCCCAAAGGAGATTCATCAGAGAATGCTAGCTGCTTATGGTGGTTGTGTTGATATGAGTACTGTGTGTCGTTGGGCGAGTAAGTTTACAGATGTAGAGGTGGGAAAATCTGACTTGTGTGACAAAGAGTTGGACGTCCTGTGACAGCAACCACCGAGTTTCACAAGCAAAAGGTTGACAGATTCATTCAGGACGATTGTCGTATTGCTCAGAGAGACATTTCAAGCATAACTGGCATTTCACAAGAATGTGAGGGTCACATTATTGCTTTGTTTGGCTATTGGAAGATCTGTGCATGATGGGTACGTTGAGAGAATTGTGAGACGCTGGTTGCGGAAACAGAGTGTTGACTTCTTCTGTGACGGCTTCAGAAATCTTGTTCATCATTGGCAGAAATGTATCCAATTGTCTGGTGATTATGTTGATAGGTGAATAGTGGGAGTTAAAGAGCACATTCTAAGGATTATTTCTGTGTTTGAGTTATTAAAATATTCCCATCCAAACCCAAGTAATGTTCAATGCTTAGGGTTCCTGCCAAAATGGAACTGTAGAGAAGAGTCTACTGAACAAGCCAGTACCTGTCACATACCAATACTGCCATCTGTTGAGGAGTTAAGAAGGTGGAGGCTTTTCATTCAACCCTCATACCAGGCATGGGCAAACTTGGGCCCTCCAGGTGTTTTGGACTTCAACTCCCACAATTCCTAACAGCCTACCAGCTGTTAGGAATTGTGGGAGTTGGAGTCCTAAACACCTGGAGGGCCCAAGTTTGCCCATGCCTGATGTACCTTCTGCTAATTCCTTTGCTCTCAAAAAGAATTGGAGCATTTCTGGGAGCTAGAAAGTTGACATGTCTTGCCGACGACTGCCTTGGTGCCGCTCAATGTAGGTTGCTGGGACAGGGGAATATTAATCGGGAGTGGCAAATGATGCACTGGGGGGAAGGCTGTGGTTTCGGGAGAGAAGAATGCGTAGGAATGCCTTGTCTGAGTTGCAATCCCTTCCCTTCTCTCTCTCTCCAGGTGTTTTGGACTTCAACTCCCACAGTTACTAACAGCCTTCCCATCTAAACCCAAGTAACGAAGGTGGAGGCATTACTTTTCATTCAACCCTCGTCTATGSTGACGATCGTGCCATCYCTGCTCAAGCAGTMAATAGTGGTAGTTAAAGAGCACATTCTAAGGATTATTTCTGCATTTGATTTATTCAAATATTCCCATCTA